GTTTGTGTAGCCAGCCTTAGCGCCTTTAATTGAGCATAGTCACGACCATTTTTGTTTGGATGAGTTTCTTGGCATAGAAGGTTGTCGAGGTATTGTTAAACTGAGTGTTTGTTAGATCTGTTATATATAGAGAAAGACGTAATAGCCGAGACTGGTTCCTCTCGTCGAAACCTTGCCAACGCTTGCGCATTAGCTTTTAAGCAGTGTTCTCAGGGAAAAAATAGCAAAGCACTTTGATGCCTTTTTTCTCACTAATTGCGATAGCAAACCTTCAACATTACGAATTTAGGTTGGGGCATACAGGAATGTTTCTTCTTTTGCTTAGTGAAAAAGAAGTAGTTTTAGAGTTCCTATACAGTACATGTTGACAGATTCATGCAAAAGAAAAAGAATTGAACGATAACGCGGAAATGGAGTTGTGTTTATGGAAATTGTTGGCTAAGTGATATTTAATATTATTTGTTGATTTAGCTGATACGGAAGATTATAAATATTTATCCGATGAATCTTGAGGAGTTATTGTGAATTTGGCTGTATATTGAAAAGCCAATTTGTTTTTAAAAGGTTTTTTAATTTTTTACATTGTTGAAGCAGTTTTTTCTGTGTTATTTGTTGGAGGATAGTTGTTTGATAAGCTGGTTAAATTTTTCGATTTTTGAACCCTGGCAAGCTGTGACGGCAATTATATGATTTCACAAGTGAGTGAGCGAATGTGGTTTCTATATTTAGATTTCAAACTTAAAAGTTTCTTAGTCTTTTTTCCTCTTTTTCTTTCTGGGTTTATATTTTTCTTTTATTCGTATGCTGGTTGAAAGTTTGTTGCTTTGTCATTCTGAACTCTTCGCAGTGATTTAAAGCAACACCGGCGAGACGAGTGTCTGGAATGTTTGAAAACTACTGCTATATGTTGATATTAGCAAATGGAAGTGTCATTAGTAAACATTGCAGTTTTGTAAAAATTACTGAGTTGTTTTTCCTATTGAAGAAGCGGAACTTTTATTTTTTTTCTGAAAAATTGAATTCAATGTTTTTTTTTTGCTTTGTCAAGGTGTAGTGTTTTGAATAGTTGAAAAAAAAAA